CTCTCGCCCCGAGGCTCGTACGACGCGGAAGTCGGATCCAGAGGGTAGGACCCGCGCGCGCTCTATGACACGACGCGACGGGATGGGTACGCGGAAATTACCGTCGGATTACGTATACGGAGATAATTCAAATTGCGTCTTGCCGGCGGAAGCATCGACCTTTGCAGAGATTCGAGAGAAGGGTTTCGAGGCGGAAGAATCTGGTTTACGCACACACACACATAAGTCGCACATGTGTATATATATATATATATATAATATATAATATTCTGTTATATATTATATTATAACATGTATTAATACGGATATTGATTATCCAATTACCGCTAATTTCCGAGTGGAAAGCCCGATATTAAGCTTTAATTAATTGCGAATCGCGCCGAATAATTTTGGACTAATTTAAGGACTCCGTGCCACCGGGCCCTCGCGGGCTATCGGATAAGCTTCCATGGTTGAAGTGAGCCATTCAATTCCTGGCACCTTACCAATCATTCCTCCGCTCGTGCATGATGCATATATCTAATGAAACGTGCGGAGATAACGAACTGGTCGATATCGGGGTAAAAATGCGCGAGGAATAGGGAAGCGCGATGTCGATCGATTTTGCAAAGAGGATACACGTGAATCGTGCATATCATCGTCTTCGTAATTCGTTAATAGCTTATTCGATAGCCGGCAATTTTCATCCGATCGTATGAATTATATTTCCGTTAAAGAAGCTGCTCGTTACAATTAAAAATGTAACGCTTAATTTTATCGTACATTCTCTCGCTAATTGTACAAATCTTCTTTTTATTTGCACGTCCGAAGACCTAATTAATTTAATTAGTTATCTCTAAATGTTATTAGTTATTTATATCTGATATTGCATTATAATATCCACGGCAATCGTGTTTAAACAACATTACAAGTTGAAATCGATCGATCGAATGGAAAGCTTTGGTTTTCATTTCTTTCGCCGCGTGTTCGCCATGTTTCTCCCTGCCTCCGGCGATTTATTTTGGGCGTGGAGTCGCGAAGGTTAACGGCGTAGAAAAGTGCGTGCTAAAAGCGCGTCCGCCTAGAGAAAGAGAGAGAAAAAAACAGGGCGGAGTCTGCATCGGAGATTCTTCGCCTATCCATCATGGCAGCTTTTTATCAGTGACGTTGCGATAAGACACTCGCCACGAACGCGCTCGCGCTCATGTGTCCGTGAGAATCGTCAATGGGACCGGAAGAGGAGAACGCGTGATACGATCGTGTCTCTTTCTCCTAATCTTTTTTTTTCTTCCTTCGAGAAATGGACGCGAGAGGGATTTCAAAAGTCCTGAAAGTTGTTCCCAGACCGAAACTTTCAATCGGATTATTCGCATCGGCGAGATTTCTATTCTGCTGAATGAAGGCCGACTTAGCGAAACGAATAAAAATCGAAAAAGAAGCGGCGTGAATATTTTGAAAAAAAAGAGACATCATTTGCAAATCCTTGTTACATACGATATATTTCTTCACTCTACCGATTTATCTTCATACACTTGGAAAATGTTTTCTCATTATTGCTTTTCATACTTTGGAATTTGCTTCAAGATATCAAGTGCTATTCAATTATTTATGCTTGTTTCGCTACTACGACATTATTTAATATTTTATTCTTCAATAAATATTTAATTACGTATTGAAAGTCTGCATAAATCTGAAATGGCATGTTTTACAAATATGTCTCCGCGTGTAGGCGAAATAGTCTCGATGTTCCTATCGAATGAGTGCCGGTGCTCGACGTACGGTGAGAACCTCGTAATAAAGTCGTTAAACGACGCCGTGGCAGTGAGTCGCCGCGGAAAACCGAGAGAGAGAAGTGCAACGACCATAAGCGAGCTGTGCAACGCGTGTCGGTGCAGTGGAGTAGCCGCGGAGAAAGTGTATCGGGAGATATCGGGTATAATATACAGGACAATCGAGATATCGCGTTCGCAAGTCCGCTCGAATCGGCTCTTAAATGCGATGCATTAAAAGTCGTGTGAAAAATAAATCACGTAATTTTCCTTTGATCGTCCTGCTTTTGATACGCGAATGTGCGTAATAAGAGGGAAGCAGATCGAGACATATCAATTAAGCCCATTAATCCGCCACCAGTAAGACCGGTTAAGGCAATAACTTTGGTCCAGAAATATTCGATCCGCGCAACAGACGCAATTCGAGAATTATTATTTTCTACTGCTAATATCGCGCTGGATTATATCGCTAATAACTCTCGAATTATAGATTATTGAGTGCATTAAATAATTGAATTATTAATAGTCGTTTTCATCGAGAGGATTCGATTTATGAGCCGTATCCGCATCGAGAGGATACGCTTTATCGGACTCGCGCTCAGATAAGTCGCGTGTTTCGCGCGGACGATTATTACGATATCGAAATATCGCGGCGGGCGTTCTAATTTAAGAGCGAATTACAGCGCCGGCGTGTATATACGTACGGTCAATCGCGCGTTACGTGTATCGCAGTATCGGTCGCGGTATCGCCGGTCAATCGCGCGATCGTCGCGCGGATAAAGAGCGGGCCATTAACTCCGCAAATACCCCGCTATATATTGCGGCAATGAGAGCGCGGTTGTTCGCAGCCGATGCTTTTTCCTATCGCGACAGACCACGACAACGGCGGCGGCGGCGGCGGCGGCGACGGCGGCGACGCGCGTACGACGCGAGAAGTAAGAACGCGGGAAGAAGGAGGAAAAAAAGAGGAAAGCGAAAAGAACGCGGTTAGTAAGGAGGGGATGAGGCGGAGGGAGGCTGGTGGCAAAAAAAAGAAGACGCCGCGAAGGCCGAGGCGCGCATTCTCGTCGCCACCCCTGCGCGAAATTACTGACCACGGGCAACGCGAGCGCGGCGCGGAAGGAAAGAAAGAAAGATAAGAGCGAAAGAACGCGCAGGAGCAACACGGATAAAAAGAAGCCCGAGCGGCGGCTGAGGTTGGCGTCGCGGCGGGGAAGGGCGGTTCGGAGGATAGGCGGGGGCAGAACATCGCAATAAAAATAAACTGCTGTTCGAGGGGCTGAAAGGCCGCCGGAGTTGCAGCCGGGCGAGGGGATGCGTGCAGCGCGATAGAGAAGAAGAGGAAGAAGAAGGGAAGTAGTGGCAAAAGAAGAAAAGAGAGATCGCTCGGGAAAGAAGGTAGCAGTGCGGTCGTTTCTGCGCGGGCAGGCGGGAAGGGAAATAAGGGGAATAACGAAAGAAGCAAATAAGAGTCTCTGTGTGAGCCTCTTCTTCTTCCACCGCCGCCGCCGCCGCCTCCGCCACACCACACCGCACCGCCGCCTTCGCCCTCCCTCCTCTACCCTGGTGGGGAGAGAGGCAATGAACAAGAAGGCGCGAACGGGGCACGCGGGGCAGAGTAGTATGAAAGACCGAGCGTGAGAGAAAGAAAGAAGCGGGGAGAAAGAAGAACAGAGAGAGAGAGAGAAAAATAAAAGTCCGGCAGGCCTTGGCTGCTGCAGTCGTCGACGGCCGCGTTGCCAAGTCTCATTTGTTTATCATAGTTCGCCAGCCTCCGCGCTCTCCCGAAGGTCCGCAAATAAAAAGAAATAAAGAAATAAATCTCGCAATGCGCGAGATCGAATTTTGTACTCGCCTTCGCCGTCGCGACGCACCCGTTATCGGCGATGATGTAACTTGCGCGCGAGACCCCGGTCATAGGATTTCAATCGTTTCCGCTAAAGTATTACGGGGAACGTAATAAATAGAATTACGCTGTGTAGGAAATAAGATAGCACATTAATAATACTATGATTAACAGTATTATGTCC